GAGTGGTTGGCATTGGTAGCTAGGCACTGACCAGTAATTCTGGTCATAATTGTATTTTTGGATTTTGTTCCATGTTTTTCCTCCCACTCTATTCAGGATCTCCAGTTGTGATCCTTTCCCGAGTGGTAATGTGAAACACAATACTGCCTAGAATCTACTACTCAGAATCTTTGCCGAGACTATTACTGCTCCTAAAAGACAATAATACTTGGTATGAATTTAATTACTAGGGAGTAGAAGATCACAAGTATAACCACCTTTCTACCATCCCTTCATACCTGCTGTTGTCTTGATTATTCCCTGATCTGGTAATGTTCCATATTTCCGATGCTGCTCATACCAGTCATTCACTGTCATAGTTGCCAGGCTTGGATAACCAGCTCCAAATACCCTGCAAGAATCACACTGCATTTAGAAAACTAAACAGAATTAGTACTACTAAAAAGCTCTTCCGTTTAGTGACAAAGCCTAGGTCTGTCTTATCTTCGTTCCTCTACTCAGCTATCTCCTGAAGAGTTGTACAAACAACTGTTAAGATATGTAAAAAGTGGCATCCAGAAATGGGCATTAAACCAAGAGTTATCATAAGAAGATAACCAGTCCTGGATCATCTCCCAATAAGCAATTCCAGAGGTTAATGTCCCACAGACCAATGATGATATTATAGAAAGGGTATTTATGGCTGCTGGGTCTGAAAGGTATAGAGGAGATTCTCCTCCTACCCTATGGAAATGCATCTTTCTTTTTTAACGCATTTTACTGAAATATAATTTACGTACAGTGAAATACATGAAACTAAAGCGACATGGGTCAATGCTTTCTTTTTTTTTTTGCAGTGTTCCCTCCTCTCCCCTCCCCCACTGGCAACCAACAAAGAAAGTTTCCCTCTATATATAAACCTTTCCTTGACCCTCCACAACAATGAACTAATACTATATTTGTCCTTCTGTGACTGACTTATTTCACTCAGCACAATGTCCTCCAAGTTCATCCATATTATGTGGTTTGCAGACTTTACATTATTCTTTAGTGCTGCATAGCATTCCAGTATGTGTATTACCATAGTTTGGTCATCCACTCTTCTGCTGATGGGCACGTAGGTTGTTTCCATCTTTTTGCTATTGTAAATAGCACTGTGATGAACATGAGTGTGCATGGATCTGTTCCTATCCTGGCTCTTACCTCTCTAGGATGTATACCTAGTAATGGGATTGCTGGGTCAAACAGTATCTCCAATTCCAACTTTCAAAGGAATCACCATATTGCTTTCCAGAGTGGTTGTGTCACTTCACAATCACACAAGCAGTGTATGAAAGTCCCAACCTCTCCACATCCCCACCAGCATTTGTTATTTGCTGTCTCATTGAACCTTGCCATCAGTGCTGGGGTGAGATGGTGTATCTCATTGTTGTTTTGATTTACGTCTCTCTGATGGCCAATGATTGTGAGCATCTTTTCATTTATTAGCTGACCACCCAAATATCCTCCTTGATAAATGTCTATTCATGTATTCTGCCCATTTTTCAATTGGATTGTTAATTCCTTTGGTGTTCAGGCTTTGGAGTTTTCCATCAATCTTAGAGATAAGTCCCTTGCCAGATATGTAATTATCAGGAAATATGAATTTGTTGCTGTCATTTTTGTCATGTGCTTTCTCATTGTGTTGATTTCTTTGTTCCATATAATTTTCTTTACTGAGCTCATTTTGTTTATGAATCATGTTATCACTTCCTTCATTGCTATTGTTCTAGTATTGGCTGAATATTTATGCTGGTCTTTTTTTTTTATTTTGATGTGAAGGCTTATCATTTTTCTTTGAGGTTACCCTGTGATTTATAGTTTTCTTCCCAAGTTTAGAACAGTCTGTTCTATCTTATAGTGGTATTGACTTCCCTACCATCTAGAAGTTCTGTAACGACACAGATTTTTTTTTTCCCCTCTTTTTGGTTTGTAGTTGTTCTTATTTGTCAGTTGGTGTCTCTGGTTCCCTATTTACAATCTTGTAGGCTTATTTACTTTGGATATTTCCATAGCTGGGTTGGTTTCTGGATTATATCATCATGTGTGTTAATGGTCAGTTGTTGTTGGCTATTATTGTTCTCTGTCCAAAGGACTCCCTTTAGCATCTCTGTAGGCTTGGTCTGGTTTTAACAAATTCCCTTAATTTCTGCTTATCTGGAAATGTCCCAATTTCATCATCTTATTTGAGGGACAATTTTGCTGGGTACATAATTCTTGGTTGGAAATCTTTCTCTTTCAGTGTTTTATATATACCATTCCCACTGTCTTCTCGCCTGCATGGTTTCTGCTGAGAAATCTGAGCTCAGTGTTACTGGTTGCCCCTTATAGGTAACTTTTCATTTTTCCCATGCTACTCTCGTGATTCTTTCTTTGTCTTGGGTTTTGGTGTATTTGATGATGATATGTCTTGGTGTTTTTCTTTTGGGGTCTATCCTGTTTGGGGTTTGTTGGACTTCCTGAATGGATATATTCCCATCTTTCATCATATCAGGAAAGTTCTCCTCTAACAAATATTCAACAATTTTCTCAGTGGTTTTACTTTTCTCTTCCTTTTTGGAATTCCAGTGACATGTAGGGTATTCCTTTTGATGGTATCCCACATGAACCTTAGGCTTTCTTCATTATGTTTTGATCTTTTTTCTGATTGATCCCTTTCCAAAGAAGTATTCAGGTATTTGTCTTCAATGTCATTAATTCTGCCTTCCATTGCATCAATTCTACTCCTTTGCCCTTCCAATGTGTTACCTATTTCTGACAATTTAGTATTAATCTTCTGTATTTCTATCTGTAGTTTTAGAATCATTTCTAATTTTTCATTTATTTTGTCACTTTGTTCTTGTATTTTCTTCCAAAATTCTTTAAGCATTTTGTCTGTGTTTTCCTTGGTCTGTCTCTCAATCCTTTGAAGATACCTAAATACAAGTCTTCTGAATTCCTTATCAGGGAGTTTCAATGCTGCGTCTTCCTCAGGGATGTGTTTTGGGTCTGTATCCTTGTCCCTTGTTTCTCCTGTTTTATCTTGCTTCTTTGTGTGGACTGTGATGCTCTGTTGTCTCTGAGATATTGTGACATTTTTGTGTTTATATTTAATTGGTGATTATATGTTGGAGTGACTTGCCCACAATTTTCGTTTTGTTTTGTTTGTATGTTATCTATACAGGCAGGGTACTGTACTGTGCTCCTCTATTCAGTAGTTGACAGCACTTATGCACTTATCACCTGTCTTCTTTCCTGTTGTCAGCCTCTCATATGTCCTTGCTGACCCTGGCAAACAGAGCCTGTTCTTAGGTCCCTGGAATCTGAATGAGAATGCTATCATTTTAAAATCCAAAATGGTTGCCACCTGTAAACATTCAAAATGGCTGCGTCCTTGGTCACTTTAAATATCCAAAATGGCCACCGCTTGTAAACATTCAAAATGGCTGCACCCTCAGTCACTTTAAATATCCAAAATGGCTGCCACGTGTAAACAATCAAAATGGCTGCACCCCCCAGACAGCAGAAAGTCCACAGCTCAGGTTGTCTTCCTCCTTGCTGTTTCCCTTCCTAGTCAGAGGTCACCAGAGCAGTTGTCCCTGCAGCCCTTGGTGACCAGGACTGATCTTTAGGTCAATTCTCAGGTCCCAACACCACTTGGAAATATTCAGGCTGCTGGTCCCATCAGAGTAGCTGACAGTCCATAGCTCTGACCATCTCTGTACTCACTGTTTTCATTCAGGTTTTTCCACTAGTTGGTAACTAATCCACTTCTGTATAGTTTCTTTCAAAGCTCAGGGTTCCAGGATTATCTTCTGTGTCTCTGTCAATTGGTTTATCTTTTCTTTGTTGAAGAGGGTCTGTGTTGCTTGTCTGCCTATTCCTTCATCTTACCAGAAGTTCTGGAAATGCATCTTAAGAGCTCAAAATTAAATCCTAGATAGGCAAATATGTCCTTTGAAATCTCTAGCTGAATGCAGGAAGGGGGAGAAAAGCATTTAAATATACAATTACCCATTAGATTGTTCCTTTCTTTCTGTTTTATTAATTTTTGTTTCCTTTTGAGCCTAGTTTTAAGCTTGAGTTTGAGAGGAAAATGTCTGATGAAGAAAGACATACAGAAGGCATGAGGAGAGACAACAATATCTCTGATGAAAGAGCAGCCTTCATAGGTGAAAGCATGACCCCTCAACAACACTCACTCTGTCTGTTATTAATGCACTGTAACTGTACTATAAAAGCAGGAGGCCTGCAAAAACAAACTATTTTCAAACACTACCTACTTGGCTTGGGCCGTGTCCCGGGTGAGAATGAAGGGTTTCATTGGTGGCCTTTCTTGACGAGATGAGTGAGAAGTTGAAGCCTAAAAAAGAAATGATGACAGGTGCATTTGCCATTTTGTCCATCCCACTAAGCAGGCTCTTATGTCTTTAAGAACTTGAAAAGTACTTGATTCAAATTTCACTAATACTCTATTTGTTCTCTTTATTCTCACCCTATTTTCTAAGAAACAGCAGAATACTCATGGTGGAGGTTGTTTAGCTTTCCTGAAAAGGCCTGAGTACCTTGCTAAAAAGGGAGAAAGAGAGAGTTCAACTACCTCATCACAAGTAAAAAAAATTACTTAGCTTTAAAACACAGGGGCCCTCCAAGGGAGGAAGTTTCCATAGCCTTCTTTCATGTTCCATCTAAATCTGTTGAGCTGAATTTGAAGTGTCTTTCCTCAGCCTGACTTTCAGTAGAAATACTGAATTATTAAGACCATTTTTCTAAAGCCTCTTTCAATGCAAAAGTGCTATTAACTGTCAAGAATCCCTAGGATGTTTCAGGGATGTTCCTGAGTACAAGGGGAGAGGATATGTTAGTAATTTTCATGTAGAAGTGTATAGAAATGTTTTAGGGAACACTGGCTTTCTAAGGGCATCTGAAAAGAAAGTGTTTCCTTGGTTCCAACTCTATCACTTTCAGAGACAATCCCAATATCACATAAGAGAACATTAAAAAAAAAAAAAAAGGTAAAAAGAAGGATGCAGGGAAGGATGCAGAAGGCTCCAGTCTCAAAATGCTTGAAAACCATTCTAGACACACTTAAGGGTCCTATGACATTAGAATACCAATTATTCACTCGTCGATCTATTAACATGGAGAAAGAACTAGGTTGATGTTATCCTGAAACAAGAGCTCCTGGGCTAATTTATTTAGTGCAAATCAAATTAGGAAGATGTTTCTCTGGTGACTTAAATATATGCCTGTGACTACGTGATAAATTCAATTCAATTTATGTCTCCTGAACCAAAGAGCAAGTGGCAGAAGAGTCTATTCTTCGAAAACAGCAGTTCCAAAACAAGGTAATGATATTCAAAGACAGCTAAAACTGTATTACACCATGTTTTCTTTACCAGTATACCCCACATTTTGTGCATGGAGATGTCCTTGCTATGTCTCATATTTTGGTGATCTGAAAGTGTGTGAGTGAATCATTGTGTAAAGTTAAATTCTGATTCTTCCCCCAAACTAAACATATTCCCCGGCCTTTCATCTTATCTTCTTCACTCTAGTCTTTTCTATCTCTCCTCCAGTTTCATTTTTCTTTTCCTTTCCATTCTATTTCTCTCTTTGTTTATTACAGTCAACTAAAGTTACAACTTCCCACAACCAAAACCAATTTTTATTTCAGTGAACTCTTCTTCTCTTGTGGCATGTCACAAAAATACAAATGACTAGAAGAGTACTACAGATTAGAAAGAACTAGGAAATACTACTAAACACTAAAGAGAAATCTATCCTACTGGACCTTCAGCCTTCCTCCATTAAGCTTAATAAGAATAATAATTTTATGGACTCTTAAAAGAACTTTAATTTGATTACTCTTCTTTAGGATATTCAAATCTTCTGACAGTAGCTTTTTGAACTATACGGGCAGTAATGAGGCTTACCACTTTTGAGAAGTCTTTTTCTCTCAGGATCTTTATCTCTTGGTCAATGCTCTCAATCTCTTCCAAGCTGATACCAATCCACCTCCGAAGGTGAAGGAGATAATATTCACGAACACGCTCATCATCTGCTTGACCACTTTCCACACCAGATTTCAGTGCAGACAATCTATTCTCCATCTCCTTCTGCTGCTTGTATCTGTTCCACAGAAAAGCATTATCCATGTTCTTAAAAATAAAGTAGTATTCCTTCAAAAGAAGGCCATAATGAGGTTTTACTTTTCAATTGACCAGATAATAAGAACATTGATTTCCACCTGGACAGGAATATAGATTCTATATCCCAGGGCTTGCCACCAGGTAGTTTCCCCAGACTACAAAGGCAAGAAAGGGACCAGCAGGATCTTGGAAGTACATTCTAAAGCCAGATAAATACAGAAGTAACCTAGTCTGTGCAACCTTCTGTCATTATCTTTAAGGACAGGAGTACCTTAGTTTATGTATCAATCCTTACTAAGCTGGGTAATTAGTATCACACAATAATTCCCATATGCATCCATTTGGCAGTTACAATTTCAAAGAATTATAGAATCTTAGGGGTCATTTACTTCCCATTGATACAGGAAGTCCTTGTAAAACAGCTTAATAAATGATCATTTATTTTCTTCTAAAAAAAAAAAAAAAAAACATTCCCAGCTCTTCTGACTCATCCTTACATAATTTAAAGACTCATAACCACCCTGGATGGAGTCCCTGGGTGGCACAAATGATTAACTGCTCAGTTACAGTTCAAATCCACCTCAAGGTACCTTGGAAGAGAGGCCTGGTGATCTACTTCTGAAAGATCATAGCCAATGAAAACCCTATGAAGCAGGTGCAGTTTTATTCCGAAACACATGGGACTGCCTGAATTGTAAATGACTCAGTGGCAACTAGTTGGTCAACCACCCTGGCTGTCTTTTTTGGGATGCACTGTAATGTCCTCTGTCATTCACTCATTCATTCAACAATTATTTACTGAGTACCCACTGGGTGACAGGCACTGTTCTCAGTGCTGGAAAGACACAACAATGTATAAAAAAAAAGTCATTGCTCTCATGAAGCTTTCTTTCTAGCAGGATAAGATAGATAAAAAGAAATAAATGAGTCAAGTGATGATAAGTGCTATGAAAAAGCCAAAAAGCAAGTGTATAGAGTGATGGTGCAGAAGTAGAGGTGCTATTACATACAAGGTGGTCTACAAAGCCCTCTTGGAAGAGATGACATTTGAGCAGACTTCAAGGAAATAAGGAAGCAAACCAAGCAGGTATCTGGAAGAGTGTTCTAAGAAGAGGCAAAAGCAAATACAAAGGCCCTGTGGCAGGAGAGTGCCTGGTCTATCATGACTGAGAAATAGCAAGGTGGCCAATGTGGCTGGAATGGAGTGAAGAGTGATAGGAAATGAAATAAGAGAAATAACCAAGGCTATAACTTGTTGAGTTGGGAAAGCCACTGGAGGCTTTTGAATAGAGTATGTGACATGACTATAAAAGAGTGACATGAAAATACTTTTTACTGTAAGGGTTATTATGCTAATTATTATATGGAATGTTGACTATGGGGGCTGGAGGCAAGGGTAAAAGCAGGGAAAGCAATTAAGATCCAGGTGACTTGAAGTAGGGAGGTATGATGGAGATAATAAGATGTGGATGTATTTAAAATATAGACAGGATCTGCTGATTAACTGGATATAAGGGCTTGAAAGAAAGTGAAAAGTCAAGGCTCAATTCCCAGTTTTTTGACCTGAGCAACTGTCAGAATGAGGTTGCCATCTACTAAGGATGGAGGATGACAGGTTGGGTGAAAGGTATGGGGGAAAGTCAATGTTGAAATTTAACTCTGAAAAGTCTATCCAAGGGCCGATCTCAAATAGTCTATTGGATATATAAATTTGGAATTCAGTGAAGGAGTCAAGAGCTGGAGACAGGACTACATAAGATCACCTACCCACTTCCACTGAGTCGATTCTGACTTAGAGAGATCCTACAGGACAGAATAAAACTGCTCCATAGGGTTTCCAAGATTGTAAACCTTTATGGAAGCAATCTGCCTCATTTTTCTCCCACAGAGTGACTGGTGGGTTCGATCTGCTGACCTTTTGGTTAGCAGCAGAATTGCTTAACCACTGTGCCACCAGAGCTCCTTTTTTAAGATCACCTAGGAAGTATAGAAAACACAACCAAGAAATGAACCATGGGTAACTCTGAAATTGGTTTTACCTATGAGAAGGCAGATACCCAAAACAACACCCTAAGAGAGGGACCTGTAGGACCCAGGTGTTAAGCAGCTGAAATAAAAGTTGTTCAGGTATTTGGAAAAGATGGGAAATTGTTTTATTCATCAACTCTGTGAATGTGAGGCACTCCATTCCCAATGCAGTCTGCTAAATGTTTCTTATTCCCAGAAGCATTTCAAAACCAAAAGAGACTATGCTGCTTCTTAAGCATCTAGTTCCCAAAGGATCTTCTTCAAAAACTATACCTATCCCCAATGCACAACAGTGCAGCCACTTCTCTGCAACATAAATGATCTTCTGATAGCTAAAAACAAGTACCCACCACTCATGCATCAGTTTGGCATACTGTGGTGGCTTGTGTGCTACTGTGATGCTGTATGCTATGACATCAGTATTTCAAATGCCAGCAAGGTAACCCATGGTGGAGAGGTTCCAGTGGAGCTTCCAGTCTAAGAGACTAGGAAGAAGGATGTGCCCAGGTCCACTTCTGAAAAAATTTGCCACTGAAAACTTTAGGAATAGCAGTGAAACACTGTCTGATACAGTGCTGGAAGATGAGCCCCTCAGCTTAGAAGGCACTCAAAATAAGACTGGGGAAAATCTGCCTCCTCAAAGTAGAGTCAACCTTAATGACGTGGAAGAAGGAAAGCTTTTGGGGCATTCATTTGCTGATGGGGCACGACTTAAAATGGGAAGAAACAGTTGCAAATATTCATTAATAATCAGAATGTGGAATGTACAAAGTATGAATCTAGGAAAATAGGAAGTTGTTTAACAAAATGGAACTCATAAAGATCAATAACCTAAGCATTACTGAGCTGAAATGGACTGATAATGGCCTCTGAGTCAGACAATCATATGGTCTACTATGCCAGGAATGACAAATTGAAGAAGAATGGCGTCCCACTCATTGTCAAAAAGAACATTTCAAGATCTGTCCTGAAGTACAATGCTGTCAGTGATAGGATAACATCCATATGCCTACAAGGAAAACCAGGTAATACTACTATTATTCAAATTTACACACCAACCACTAAAGCCAAAGACAAAGAAACTGAAGATTTTTACAAACCTCTGCATTCTGAAATTGACCAAATATGCAATCAAGATGTATTGAAAGTACAGGTAATAGGAATGTGAAAGTTGGGAACAAAGAAGAAGCATCAGTGAAAAATATGGCCCTGGTGACAGAAATGACCCCATAGATCAGATGATAGAATTTTCCAAGACTAATGACTTATTCATTGCAAATACCTTTTTTCAACAACATAAATGGACCTCACCAGATGAAATACACAGAAATTAAACTGACTACTCTGTGGAAAGAGACAATGGAGAAGGTCAATATCATCAGTCAGAACAAGATCAGGGGAGATCCTGTCAATACCATCAGTCAGAACTGCAGAACAGACCATCAATTGCTCATATGCAAGTTTAAATTAAAACAAGTCCATGAGAGCCAAATGTAACCTTGAATACATCTCATCTGAATTTAGAGACCATCTGAAGAACCGATTTGACATACTGCAATGACCAGGCAAGCTGTGGAAGGATATCACACATAAAGAATGCACAAAGTCATTAAAAAGACAGGAAAGAATGAACAAACCAAAATGGATGCCAGAAGAGACTGTGAAACTTGACCTTGAATGGAGAGCAGTTAAAGGAAGAAATGATGATATAAATGAACAGAAGATTTCAAAGGGCAGCTTGAGAAGACAAAGTATTATAATGAAATGTGTAAAGAACTGGAGTTGGGAAATCAAAAGGGAAGAACATGCTTACCATTTCTCAAGTTGAAAGAACTGAAGAAAAATTCAAGCCTCAAGTTGCGATACTGAAGGATCCTGTGGGCAAAATATTAAATGATGCAGGAAGCATCAAAAGAAAAGGGAAGGAATAAACAGAATCACTGTACCAAAAATAACTGGTCGACATTCAACTACTTCAGGAGGTAGGACATGATCAAGAACCAGTGATACTGAAGGAAGAAGTCCAAGGTACACTGAAGGAAATGGAGAAAAACAAGGCTCCAGGAATTGACAGAATACCCACTGAGATGTTTCAACCAACAGATGCAACACTGGAAGCCCTAACTTGTTTATGTCAAGAAATTGCAGGACAAACGGAAGTGCATACCTATGAGGGGCACAGAGGGAGGGTTACTGGGCAGGGAAGGGAGGAAACTGGGTTAGGGTTGGGCATGATAAATGGGGAATGAAACTAAATGCACACGTAACATTGTATGTAAAACAAACTCTTAAAAGAAAATAATAAATTTGGAAGACCTGGCAAACCAACTGGAAGAGATTCATATTTATGCTTATCCCAAAGAAAGGTGATCCAACAGAATGTGGAAATTAATATCATTAATATCACATGCAAGTCAAAATTCAAAAATGGTTGCAGTGGTACATCAGCAGGAAACTGGCAGAAATTCAAGCCAGATTCAGGAAAGGGCAGGGAATGAGGGATATCATTGCTAATGTCAGATGGATCTTGGCTGAAAGCAGAGAATACCAGAGGGCCCACATGCTAACATGGGCAGGGGAAGGGATATATGGAAAGGGTATGTGACCACCATGATAACATTAGGAAATGGGAGGACACTGAATTGTGCACATAAGAGATAGACGACAGATGCTAATACCAACCAATGTGTCCACAATACTGCATTGCCACTAACACCAAACACCAGGCTACAGATAAACAGAGGATCAGATGGGGGGGTCAGTGAACAGGAGTATACTCCAGACCAAGGATAGATTCAATGCAGGCTAATCTTGCACAGACACCAGTGATACAAAATATCTGCAATCCATACAGAAACAATAGAAGACAGACACAGAGTAATCCCTCACAGACACTCAGACACTATGGGAGAGAGATCCAATAGATCTACCATCTTAGGACCATAGTACTAG